CCCCCCCCCCCCCAAACTGTCATTCTGCTGCCATCAGTAAGATGAACTGATGATACCAGCCATGTCATTCATGGAGTGATCTGTTTTCCATTACAAGTCCTTGTGTCCTTACCTGCTGCAGATTTCTGTACCGTGCCTCTGCTTGATATTTAACATGTCAATCTAGATCTATGAAGCCTCAGAAGAAATGGCAGGGGGGAGGTGCAGCTAGGGGGAAATCACCATTCTAGCTTTATAGCTTCACTGTAAAGAACTGGTATTGATACCGTGCAGTTTGGCAGTTAAGTTAGTTGCATGAAGACTGCCAATGTCAAGTATGATGTTGAAGTACAGTCTTGATTCAAATCTTCGAAGTAATCTTTTAATGTGACAAGGAAACTTCATGCTACATGGAGGCTCAAATAGTACTCTGTATTGCTAAGTAATCCTATAAAGAAATTTTTGATATCATGTGGCTCGTGTAGATTTAAAAAGTACTTTAGAATCCTATGTTTAATCCCCTATTATTTCTTATTAGAAGACCTGTATGTTTTTTGGTAAGCTGCTGTGTGGAGAGAAGAGTGCCCATAAATGAATGATTTATTCCTTCAAAGATGCAAATAATTAGTATGAGCTGTGTGGGGTGGGAGAGACCTATTGTATGCTATTATGAAGAAGCTGTTAAAGAAGTGTTTGGTGGTGGCATTGACAGAAGAGAGACTTATTTGAACATTTCTTTTTTCATGTGAATGTGTCACATGTGTCTTTTTCCTTAGGAAGGATTTATTGAAGACCTGGTGTAATGGCCATGCAAATGCAATATGAAGCAAATGCAGATACATCAGCAGAGGAAGAGAGCTTTGGTCCCCAGCTGATATCTAGGCTAGAGGTATGGAATGAGTTGCTATGTGAGGAACAAGCTGCCACGCAAGCAGCGAAACAATTCTTCAATGAGAATTGTATTTAGGAGTGGCCACTAGTTTTGCCTAGCTAATTTTTGTCAAAAAAAATTCCAGTCCCAAAGTGTTACAGAAAGCATCAAAGCTTAACTTGAGGTGTATTTAATGTGAAAGGTGGACAAATGCTGATCTGTGGTTTATATAAAGTACATCAAAACAAAAGTAAATCAGCAACTGTTAGCAAAGAGGTTACATTCTGTACCACACTGTGCAACTAACTTGCTGAATATCCTGTCTGAAGATGGTCTCCTTTTCTTGAACTTATTTAAAACTTCATTTAGTAAAAATTAAAAATTATAGTTATTTACATGGCTTTGTATTACTACTCCTTCTGTGTCTAGATAGCCAAAAAGAGAATCATGTATGCTTCCTATTCTATGTTATTTTTGGTACTGATAATGACCTACACAAACAGTGCATAGTGTAAAGGAGAATTTATAGGGGGAGAACAGTCTATTCAGCTATTTTTGGGTGTAACTGAATGAGGAATTCAGTATTCTTTTCCTCAATCCAGTCCTTACAGAAGACAGTTGGAGGGTTTCTAGGTCTTCAGTGTCTCTTTCAAAACACTGTACCTACCATAATTGTTTTTTATTCCTTTCAGCAATGTGGTATAAATGCAAACGATGTGAAGAAGTTAGAAGAAGCTGGATTTCACACAGTTGAGGCTGTTGCTTATGCACCGAAGAAGGAGCTACTTAATATTAAAGGCATCAGTGAAGCAAAAGCTGACAAAATCTTGGTAATTACATTTGAATGAAAGGTTTATGTACCTGTAAAGAATTTCAGAACTGTACAACTACTTACCACAATTTTATAAAGTGACTAGCAAGCTTTGAGAGGCTGTGTTTTGGATATCCAGCTTTTTCTGAAACGAGGCCCCTTTAAAACATCACTAGTTGTACATCCATGAGTGCTAGCTGCTTTTTCAAAACCTTGGATCATTTTATACCTATTCAGAAAGATGGGTGGAGGCAAGAGAAGAATTATGCAGATTTATTGATACTGAAGTAGAATCTGATTGGTTCCTCAAGTGGTGGGGAGTTAGCATTATCACTAACTAGTAAGATTGTTGTCATGGAAAAATGATGAAGTCTATAACTTGGAGAATAAAAATGTACTAAAAAGGCACACTGTCAAAATGTGTTTATTGCTAAATTGAAGTCATTTTTAACAGTACTCTAAAGTGTTTGTTTATTAAGCTAAATATTCAGGTACTTTTGCATCACTAGGATGCATTCATCTATTATAATGCCAATTTTTTAAAAAACTTATGGAAGAGTTCCCGAGCAGGCTGGGGTTACTAAAACCACAAAACCTTTTTGTGGGGAGTTGGAAGAGGCAAATAATTATTTCCCCATGAAAATAATGGCAATGGCAAATAAACACCCTTAATAGACTATTTCTCTAGCCAGTATTGCTAAACCCATACAACGGCAGTGTTGGTCCAGCTGTAGTGAAAACATTGTTTTGTGGTTCTTTATCTTAAGATGTCTGTGCTATAATGCCAAATGAGCCATGAAGCAGTCATGACAATTGAATAAAAAATGTGGGTAATTTCCTGCATACGGATGTTGTTACTTGGAAGCATTAGATCTTTGAGTTTGCCTTATTGGTTCATGTTGTGGCACTTGCTTGCCTCTGAATCTGTGGGCTAGGTACAATAGACAAGAATGCAGTTTGGTATCTGTTCTTTTGTGATTGCAGGTGAACTCTGATTTCTTATACTGCATAACATCTTATACTGCATAATAACCTAAGAAACATCTACTTCACATTTATCAAAATACAAGCTGAGAAAATATTTCAACTCAATCTTTTTTTCTCTGATTTGATCTACCTGCTAAAAATTCCTGGCTTCATACCTGTAGAATAAGATGGTTAATGTTTTGTGAAAACTTCTATTGCTATAAAATAGGCAGAAGTGGTGCTCAGGTTATTTCTTTGAATGGCATTATATGAGGTACAAAGAAGAACATATAGTTTCTCAAGAAAATAAACTAACAAGTATTTCAATTTTAGCACATATAAATATTTCTCTTGGACATGGCAGAAGAAAATTCCTGTATTAACTATAGGAGGGGTTAAAACAACTGATGAATCCTTGGTATGCATTTCTTTCCCCATACCTAGCTTGGTTTCGCTACCCTTGTCTCTAGGCAGAAGCAGCTAAACTAGTTCCGATGGGTTTTACCACAGCAACAGCATTCCATCAGCGGAGGTCAGAGATCATCCAGATCACCACTGGGTCCAAAGAACTCGATAAACTGCTTCAAGGTGATAAATCTACTTACCCACTTTTTGAATTTATTCTCAGGTACCACTATATTGTTTCCAGAAAATGTAAGCCTCCCACACCCATGTGTGGTATAAGGGGCTTTCTGTTGGTTTAACTTGAATATCCTTTCATAATGCTTCCTCATGATCAGTTCCATTCAGCTGGCACCTCTTCAGAGAAAGTTACAGAAGTAGATCAAAAAGGGAAAGAAACTCCACTGCTCACATAGAGCAGTGTTTCCCAACCTTTTCCAGCCCAGGGCACACTTGCATTAATAAAAATTTTCTGTGGCACACCTGTTAAGGCATTCCCCATCCTCATACCTATTGTAGCTCATTGCCATGGCAAAATTCCGCAGCATACCTGTTTGTTGCTGACGGCAAACTTTTGTGCCATGGAACATTGGTTGGAAAACACTTGTATAGAGTATAATGCCACTGTTAAGACATTTTAATGCTAGCGTTGAATATTACTGATTTTAATGTTTTTTTTTTAATAATGGGAAAATTAGCTCCTATCATCTCCCTTTCTCCTCCCAAAATAAAACCAAAACAAAAGGTCATCCCTATAACGTAGCTTACTTCCCTTCATCAGAACAGTCTTGCCTGGGGCTCTATTCCACAGCATTATCAATCTTGGGTATTCAAGAGAGTGGTTGCAAGGAAGAATTCTGAAATATAGATGATCAATTCTAAAATAGTTTCCCAATATAGATACCATGTGACGCCTGAGCCTCAAAGTCTGAAATTCTTACTTGCTTATACTCATGACTTATTTGGAGCCTGTGACAGTGTGACTCCATTTTGTTTCTCCTCAAGGGGGAATAGAGACAGGGTCCATAACGGAGCTGTTTGGGGAATTCCGCACTGGGAAGACACAGCTGTGTCATACACTGGCAGTAACCTGTCAAGTGAGTATTTCATTTTATTAAACTATATGTTGCGTCTAAACTCTACCTAATCAAGGCACAGTTCCAGTCATCCACATGAACGCAGCTACAAAAGTAGTCGAAAAAAGTGTATACCTGTAATCTGTACAGTAGTTGCCATCAAAACTGTGACCCCATGGGTTGAACTGGCAACTTTCAGCATCTCACTGCACTTTTTTACTTTGCCTCTGGGGATAATCTGAGTAGAGCCTGAATATATTTAAATAGGAAGAAAGTAACATGATACATCTGGTATGGAAATAAAAAAACAAAATATGTTCTGATGACAGAAATAAGAAGCATCCATCTTGCCTCATTCTGGTTCCTTGGGGGGTTTGAAGATAAACTTTTGTTTCTCTCTCAACTGCAGAGAAGTTCTGTCTTTGCCAACAACAGAGAAAAAGAGATGAAGCTGTTCATACTGTGCTCAGCTCATTTCCTTTCTAATTGTATTTTACATATCCAAGCTTAGTTAACTTCCTTGAGGGGGGGAGCTTCAGTTGTTCCTTATTATCTGAGACTAGATCAATATGGGTAGATACAGTAACTTCAGACAGAGTAAAAAGGTTATTTAAATAGGTTCTTTGACATGTTACTTTTTAATGGCTACTGTACCATAAAATATTAAGGGCAGAATGCTCAACTTGACCACTTAAATTAGGGTTACCAAGGGTAGGATGTAATAAAAGACTTGGGTACCTACAAATTAGGTGCTTGGACCCCAGCATGGAATCCAAAACCATGTGTTTGGTGCCTAGGCAGAGAATGCAAGGGCCATGGGCTCAAAGAGTGACCACAAGAGTATTTGTCTACAGTAGGAGGTAATCCTAAATTTCATTCCCTGCTGCCAGGATTACTGTTTTTTTTAATAATAGTTTTACATTAAACAGTTGTTGGATAAAGAAAACTGGGAGCTGGGGCTACAAGGCAGGACTCCTCCATTCTAAATGAGTGCTCTAGCATAGGCTGCAGAGGCTGGTTCTTACTTGTGCTTGCTTTCATGTAACATGAATTTTGCATTCTTTGCATCATGGCAGAGTTTCAGCAGGAGTGAAAAGTGCCCCTAGCCACCTCTTTAGCCTGGTGGTTTGGGAATGCTTCTGGAAGGAGGAAGATTTGAGTTCAAGTCTACCACTTGCCTTGCTAAAGAGGAGTTACACTGACCATTAAATATAATAGTGAGTGGTGCCAGCATCACCACCTCTAGCTGCATTTACAAAAAAAAAAAAAAAAGCGGGTGCAGTTGTATTTTTGTGAAGGCTCCGATCCTATTGGTGCTTATGTTAAGTTGTTCTGAATCGGATGTCTCAGAAGATTTAGATGCCCCTCCGCCTAGAGTCTGGATTCCAGTGAGGCTTAGGTGGGAGATAATGCCCAAATTCTATTTCTCCTAGTAGGTGTGTAAGTGGGCTTTGACACCGATGTATGATTCTGTTTCTCACTGCTAGAGTCCCTGAAAAACTATTAAAGCAACACATGGGTGGGTCCTTCTTGCTGTTTTTTTTTTTACTCAGTCTTAAGGGTAAGGGGTTGTTACAAAGTAGATGTATTACAGATTTTCAGAGACAGAGGCAGGGTGGTATTAGGCACATCTGTGAGATTTGATAGGTGGAGTACAATCTGGTAGTCTTCCTGCTCAGGCAGAACTATGTCTGGGCATGTGCAGAACCAGTGATGTGAGCATCTAGGGAACTTTAGGTCAAAGAGGGAGACATGCTGTCAATTCAAGGGTCTCTGGGATTACGCAGTTGCTGGTTGGGTTCTTTTGAATGAGAGAGAGTTTAGGTGCCTACATCTAGAGTTAAGTTTTGCATTAGATGCTAAAGTTCATATTTTGGATATGGCCCACATGAGCTTTTTGGTGTTTGAAGTAACAAGAAGGCTTTCAAATTTTAGGAGCCTAAATGCTTTTTTGAACACTGAAATGCCCTGATTTGAAAAGTATGGTTCTTTCTGTCCTTGGAAGTTTTGTACTTTCCAGTGTCATTATCTCGGCAGAAGTCTGACTTTAGAGTAATGATAATGCATATGATCTATCAAAGTGTAGAACTGTTAAGTAATTGGGTTTCATTTCTCAAATGAAAAGGCTAAATATGGTGACATTTGTTTGCTATTCCCTTTAGCTTCCCATTGACCGAGGCGGTGGTGAAGGAAAGGCTATGTACATTGACACAGAAGGCACGTTCCGTCCTGAACGTCTGCTTGCTGTGGCTGAAAGGTCTGTACTTCCCACTTAAAAATTCCCTAGATCTTGTTAAAATAAATGTGTGACATTATTGATTTATTAGATTGTCCAGTCATCGCCTTGTGCATCAGCTTAACTCCTTAAATACATTCCACTGGAATACTGCAGTAAGAACTCTTCTTAAGAGATCTTCCTGCGCTCCAGCTGTCTAGCAACATACGTGCATTGTTGAAACAAGTGTAGCTATAATTGTTTTTGGCAGACAGAACTTCTCTCTCAAATGTTAGGTTCTTTGTTTTTTTCCCATAAATAGCCCTTGTAAGAGCAGTTGATGGTAATTTATTTTTTATTAGCTGTCCCCTTGGAAATCCAGTTTTTCCTTAAGTGCTGTGTGTTTGAAAGACTTTTGTCTTGAGCCTTCCTCAGGGCTGCCCAACATCTGAATGATGGGAGGCCACCTGCAGCCTCCCTCATGCCCTGATGTCTTGCCTGGTGGCAGCCAGGCCCCTCTAATGTGAACAGGACACGCAGCCCAGTTCTTCCTTGTTGTGTGCACTGTTTAGGCAAAGCAGACAGCCCACCCCTCCTTCCTGGGGCACCTCCCCCTGCCCTGCCCCCAGTGAATGGGGAAGGGAGAGGGACCCCATAGACCTCTGCTACTGGGGGAGTCTGTGGACTGTATGCTAACCCCTTGCAGGCTTCCAAGACAGCCTTGGCTTACGCTGTTATCTTAGAAACATAAAGGATCCCATATACATCTTTTTCATGGGGCTCATTAGGAACAGGTCCCTGTCAAGAAAGATGGCAAAGCACTTTCTTCAGTATGCTTGAAAAACAGTTAATCCTATTCTTTTCAGGCAAGCAGTCTGATCGTGCTGTTACATCCCTCTTAAAGGATTATCATGAGCTTACACACTTGTGCTATAATATCACTGCAATTACCTAGCTGTAGAGGCAACCAAAATATTTTCTGTAAAAATCCTGATTCTTTTAAAGCCTGTATAGCTGGTTCCATTGATGAGATGGACAGCAAGGAAGTTTTTCCTGTGGAACTTTAGAGCTGTTCTGAGCTAAAGCACCTTTCTGTGGTGCTTAGGACTCCATGGGGGCTTGCAGACACTTAAAAAACAAAATGAAAACAACAACCCCCAAAACAGTGCTTTACTTTAAACTCATTGCGTTCCTGTGCCGAGCCCTGCGCATGCGCAAAAGAGAGAGCGTGTTACTTCAACCCAGCGTGCCCAACAGCCATAAAGATCAGGTGCTTTAGTGGAGCTTTTCTAGCGCTTTTATCTAATAACTGATTGATTGAATCAGCTTTAGCTAACAGCGCTAAAAAGCCCTGCTGAAGAACCCTATCCTTACAGACGCTGCAAAGTAACACTCTGGTTCTTCCAGTGAAGTGCAGTTTTGTTTTGTTTTGTTTTTTGTTTAACATTCTGCAAGCAGCACTTGTGACTATATTTGAAGTGATGTTTAGATTGGCCCTTACATTTAATTAACTTGGGTTTAAATATTTCAGTTTCATGGTAGCTAGAGTCAGGGACCTGAACAGATCATCTAGCCTGACCCCCTGCCACAGGGGGGAATGAGTGCTGGGTTCACAAGACCCCGGACAGGTGATCATCCAACCTCCTCTTGAATTTTCCCAAGGTAGGGGCAAGGACCCCTGGGAAGTTGCTTCCAGATTTTTGGCCACCCTAACTGTAAAAAAATGCCTTCTGATCTCCAACAAAAACCGATTCTCCATCAGCTTATTACCATTGTTCCTTGTCACCCCAGGTGGCGCCAGGGAGAAAAGGGCTCTACCTGTTTGCTAGTGATCTCCCCTGATGAGTTTGTAGGCAGCCACCAAGTCCCCCCTCAGCCTCTTCTTGCTGAGGCTGAATAGGTTCAGGACCCTCAGGCTCTCCTCATAGGGCCTGTCCTGCTGCCCTCACCAAGTGAGTGGCCCTCCTCTGAACCCTCTCAGGCTGGCCACATCCCCCTGGAAGTGCAGCGCCCAGTACTGGACGCAGTACTCCAACTGTGGCCTGACCAAAGTCGCATAGAGGGGGAGTATCGCCTCTCTGGACTGGTTTGAGATGCATCTTTGGATGCATGGCAAGGTATGGCGGGCCTTGCTGGCTGCAGTCTGGCATTGGCGGCTCATGTTCATCTTGGAGTCGATAATGACTCTGAGATCCCGTTCCGCCTCTGTGCTTTCAAGAGGGGAACTCCCCAGCCTATGTCTACTGTGGATTCCTTCTCCCAAGGTGCAGCACCCTGCACTTGTCCACATTGAACCCCATCCTATTCCCATCTGCCCACTTTTGTAGTCTGTCTAAATCTAGTTGCAGACTCTCTCTCCCTTCAAGTGTGTCCACCTCGCTGCACATCTTAGTGTCATCAGCAAACTTGGACAGCGTGCTTTCCACCCCCTCATCCAAGTCGCTGATGAAGATGTTAAACAGTGCGGGCTTGAGGACCGAGCCCTGGGGGACCCCGCTGCTCACATCTCACCAAGTTGAGTATAACCCGTCCACCACTACTGTCTGGGTGCATCCCATCAGCCAATTTTTTACCCATCCAACTGTGTAGGCACCAATGCCACAGTCGCTTAATTTATTGATGAGGATGGGGTGAGAGACAGTGTCAAAGGCCTTCTTAAAGTCTAGAAAGACTACATCCACGGTGACACCATCATCCAAGGATTTAGTCACCTGGTCATAAAAGGCAATCAGGTTGGTCAGGCAGGACCTGCCTTTGAATCCATGCTGACTTCCCCTGAGCAAGATCTCCCCTGCAGGTCCCCACAGATGTGCTCCTTGATGATTCTCTTCAAGATCTTCCCCAGGACCGAGATGAGACTTACAGGCCTATAGTTACCTGGGTCCT